TGTGATATGAAGTGAAGCGGTTCAGTCCCGACTGACGGGAAAACAAACGAGCTCACAGCCAGACTGAGACGACGGCAGCTACTCACACTCAGTGACGAAGAAGTTGAGCATGGTGAGGACCACGGTGTGGCCGCTGAACATGTAGTCGCCACACGTGTGCACTCCGGTCAGGGTCATCCCAAAACCGCTCCAGATGGCCACAGCTCGCTGCAGCTTGGCCCACATGTCGCCGTACATCTGGAGGGAGGGAAGACGTGAAACTGTTGTCGCTGTGATCTTTGAGAGAGATGCTGTGTTTAAAGACACGCTAAATGGAAAATACATCATGCATTACCTTTCCTGAGCACTGCAGGTGCTGTCCTGGCACAGACAGGGAGGTGACGAACATGGTGATGCAGCGCAGCATGAACACCGTCCCCATGAGGCTGCACATGCGCCGCAACAGGATGGACCTACAAACCACAACACACACTTAGACTGTGTCTGATGGGAATTTAAGGAACACACTGCAGGTATCCTACAACACAATTCCTCATGTGTGAGACAGCCAGGACTCTACCTGTGTTTATGCAGCAGCAAAACCAGCAGCCAGATGTTACAGAGGATAACTCCACATGCTTCAGCCATCGCAAAGGCCCACGGTATTCTAGGCACACTGCAGACAAGGAAAACATCATCTGTACGGTTCCACGTCTCCAATTTCCACCAACATTTGTTCTTGTTTTATAGCTTGAAAACTACATTTTCCTGAGGTTTGAAATACTGGTTTTACAAAACAAGCAACGTCGTCTTTGGTCGTCAGTAATTAAGATCTTGAACCATTTTTCAACGAGGTCCAGATGATTAGCACCAATCAGTTAACTCACAAAATAAAGATTGATAGATGAACTAGAGCAACTGAAACGTACATTTATTTTAACATGGGGTTAACAATAAAACATCTAACAAACAGTGCAGGTAAACATATCTGGGGTTCACCAGCAGCCTCACGTCACGTATTAATTAGAGCTACTGGTGTCATCAGGCGTGTCCACTGTCCTCCCACAGAACTTTATAAAGCTCACGTTTCCTTGGCTGACATTTTATCTTCAAAGCGTCTACTTAGGTGGCTTATTTTAAATAGCAAAAACATCCACTTAGCTGTAAATAATATCACAGGATTGGACAGAAATCTCCTCAGATTTGTAAGTGGCCTGAATGACTTGGCTCAGCAGGTTTCATCATCTCCAAATGCACGCTGGCATTTCCCAATCAGCTGAGACGTTCCCTGAAAAGCTCCGAGCTGGTCATAAACAACGGGTCACGCTTCAAAGTAGGTCACTTTAAAAAACCCTCAAAAGATCACTTTGAACAAAAGCTAGCCCGTCAGGAGCGTGTGAGGACAATAATAGAAACGTGCCACCAGGAAGTACGGCCGTTATGATGCCCACCATCTGCTGGGAAACTCTGACAGCTGAGAAACATCTATATTTCTGTTCGGCTCCTTCTGTGGCATTTCACAGCTAATTACTGGTTTTGTTTGGGCATCATACGGGTTAGGAAGTGTCACACCCACCTGTCTAGGAAGATATCTGGCAGTGGGGGGTATGTGCGCATGTCAGGCACCCGCTCGTGCACGATGACCATGACGAAGGACGTGAACCCGAACACGAACACCACATACACGGAGCTGAGCACCGTCTTCCAGTACTCCGGGTCGAGGCGTCTCATCTGCTGCTTGTACTTCCCGTTGGTGTACTGGTGGTACTCCTCGCCCACCGGCGCCGTGTCAGTGCTGTCACAGTCCCTGCCTGAGTCTCCGTTACAAAGCCAGTCCAAACTGCCTCCAGAGCCTGTAGGAGAGTGGCCATCGTAGGGAAGACCCAGCTCCTCCAGCACGTCAATGTTCTGTTTCTGAAGCTTGCGGATGGACACCATCAGCCGCTTAATGTCGCCCAGCACCTTGAGCTCCAGAGGTGGCGAGCGGAGGTCGTACTCGCTGAGGGCGAGCAGGCTGGTGCCGTCCAGGCGGTGCTTGTTGCACAGCAGGTCCACATAGTCGCAGAAGCCCTCTTCCTTCAGCCACTTGGCGACGTGTTTGGGCGTCCAGCGACGGACACTCAGCTGGGTCATTTCCTCCTCGCTCTGAAGGCTGGACAGGAGAACGTTAAGAATTTAAAGTGCAAGTTGAGCAACGGATCTCTCACCTCCTGGCACCAGCGGTTCCCTCCCGACTTCCTCACAAACAAACCAAATGTTTAAGGAGAAGTCGGTCCTATTAGGCACTTTATTCCACTGAGTCAGCAATACGAACCCTAAACAAACCAAGCATGCAAGACTGCTAAGTGAGACAAAATCAGAAGTGAAAAACACATTTTAGAAAACTCCTGAACTCCTAAAGGAAGCTGAGCTTTCACAACTTGAGACACAAGATGAGGCAAACTCTGGCAATCCTGTCCAGAGGAGAAGTTCACACAGTGGAAACCACACCCTGGAAATGTGTGTGAAAGATCAGACGCATCCCCCAGAACAACCACTACACAGAAACTCTGGCTGCTGCTAACAAATAAAGATTTATGGGTTATTATCCCCAATATGACCACAAACTAAACGGGATAATTACTGTTTGGGCTTAACTTCAGTGTTAGTGTCCATCCTGTCTCCACAGTCTGCTCCAGGGAGTGCAAAGCTTTTCTAACATTTCTACCTGTTAAGAGATTAAATATTCTGGTGATCTTGTGGTTTTGTGATTCACTGAACAGCTGTAACTCATCATCAATGGCCAGCAACAAAACCATCAACACCACTGACGAGCAAATGTGCTGCTGTCAGAAGCTACTGGTTCTTTAATTACGCTAATTGCTTGCAGTATTATCTCTTAAATAACGAGCCAGACGGGCGGTATGTGTGTCAGACAACCGAGATATACGTGAAACCAAAAGGCAGCATCCTCCCCACGATCACAACAAGCCCTGAGGAGGCTAATTCACTCCAAGCTACAGTTAGCCTGCTAGCGCCTGCTAGCTTGATCAATGCGTGCGCGCTCCGCTCACTCACCCGGTCTGAGATGAAACAGGAGACGACGCGGAGCTTCTTTGTTCTACCAGCTAACTAACTAAGTGGCATCTCGTACGAATGAGCAGAAACCGTTTGAGCTTTAGCTGCAATAACAAGGGCTCGGTGGACATCATCTCGCCTGGGCTTCGCGCTGGTTAGCATTACTGTTGACAACACAGGGCGGTAATGTCCCGAATAGCAGCGCACCTACAAATGGCTACATTCCGCTACAGCTGACAAACAGTGACACGCAGTGGCAGGAAGGGGGAACTGCACCATCTGCACGTTTACATATTTTTGGATCGTTATGACAAATAGGACAGTTCTGTTGTGCAATTAAAGGCCACAAAATAACCAATCATGGCTGGAGTTGATGAAAATGTGCTTGAAAAAGCTGTACAGGCGTAAAGCTGACCGACATTCAGAATGTAGGTCACTGCTTTAATTTTAGACCAGAGCACCTGTCCCTGTCAGTACCACCACAGTTAAGCCTCCACAGGGTTGGAAAATAAATGCTGACAGAAGAAATCCTTCAAATGGGTACTTTCAGAGCAGTATTTTGTAAGTAACTATACATGTGCACGTGGTAACCAATGAGCAGCCTGCAGGGAAGCAGTGGCGCTCCTCCAGGTACCCCCTCTATTAAAGACCTGGAGAGGGTTTTATATGGAGGTAAAAGGTTTGGTAACCACGTGGATGAAGTGTGGCCTCACCTGTTCATTGGGGATATGTAAGTCTCTGACATTATACCACAAAATTAGCACCATATTTTCTGTCCTTGTGACTCTATTATAATGAAGGCGCATGTTTTCTGCAGGTCGGTGGCCAACGATCGCTACAGCCTGTGGAAGCTGGGAATCACTCACGTTGTGAATGCAGCTCATGGGAGGATGCACTGCCAGGGGAGTCATGACTTCTATGGATCCACTGTGGATTATTATGGAGTGCCTGCAGATGACTCACCGTCTTTTGACCTCTCTCGTTATTTCCTCCCCTCTGCTGAGTATATTAAGAATGCACTTGACACGACCGGTGGTAAATACCCGTCATGTTGCTTTAATGTCAGGCTTTGCAGGCCTCTCTGTGACTCTTATCTGTCTGTCTCTTGAAGAAAAAAATAAAAATCTCACATTCATGGCATGCTTTACGCTCACTGTGATCCTCTCTTTCTTCTTCAGCTCGGGTTTTCGTTCACTGTGCGGTTGGTGTGAGCAGGTCTGCCTCCCTGGTCCTGGCCTACCTAATGATCCACCATCATTACACCCTTCTGGAGGCGATCAATAAGGTCAAAGAGAGCAGGTGGATTTTCCCAAACAGAGGATTCCTCAAGCAGCTTTGTGCTTTGGACATAAAACTGCGCCGACCTCATGAGTGCACTTCAAAAACGAATTGATATTCTAATTTGCAGAACCTCAAACGGTAGTTTTCCTCAAGACAAATGATAGATTCGGTGTCTGCCAGTGGAGGGAGATCCTGTGCTTTGAATTACGTTGTTTCAGGAATGCTACTGAGTCCAATACTCTGACGCTGGCGCTGTGTTTAATGTGAATCGTGCCGCCTTTTTGCAAGATATTGACCCTCATGTTAATAGAACATCGATGTAATCAACTCACCTCAAGGCAAAATCAATTTTAAAGACTGAATACGAGACCAAATTGCTTCTTTAACCCTCGTATTGCGCTGAAGAAAAATCTGATCCATTATGTTGTGAGTCAGCGAGGCGTATTCATCGTGAAACAGTTCAAGACTTTTGAAGTTTTAAGTTTCATAAAAGACTCAAACAGAAAAATTCATCCAACATCCTGATGTTTCTGGTGTTTCTGGTGCATCTGACACACTCTGCACTGGGACAGACTAAACCTTCATCCTGTGTGATGTGATAGGATGGTACCGGTGAACATCCTGAGCTTCTATAGTTAGTGGATGTTAGCACGCTAACGCTCTGAGCCACGAGCGTTAACAGACGTGACAGCAGCTGAGCATCAGTCTGTCGTCGTGGCGACTGGCAGCACGTTGCTGATGTTTGCATGTCGGCGGGTCAGAAACTCTCACGACTGTTTTCTGGAGTTTTCCACATGTGCTGCAAGCTTAACCATCCTCCTGACGAGACGCTGCAGCCCTGGTGTTTCTCTGCAGCATGTCTCACATGTCCAGTAGTCGGGTTCTGATCTGAATGGACCACCCTGAACTGGTTCTCTGCACAGCAGCAGCTTGTTGTGAAGTGTCTCAGGAACAATGGGCTCCCCTCCGTCTGCGCTGGTGATGTCCACGACTTACAGGCCAACGAGCTTCACTAAGAACACAAATCCTTAAAAATTCAACGTGTGCTTTGGTTTTGCTGTGGTGAACGTGGCCGTGACAATCTTTTGATTTCCACGGATGGTTAATCAAACTCAGAGGAAGCTTCTTCTCAGAAAACCTGAATCATGAATGACTGAGAAACGTGTCCCGCTGCAGTCCTGGTGCTCTCCACAACAAAAGCTCATTCTTATTGCCTGGTGAAATGTTAAGAGAAAGATGTTCTTAAAATAAAGAGCTTCTCAACTGGAGTGTTCTTCACACACACACACACACACACACACACACACACACACACCTGTCAGACTGCGCTCTGACTCGGGGAACAGTTCCCAGCGGTTATGGATCACATTCAAACTTTTATGTGAGGAGGGATTTCTGTCACGCAACACACACGGCTGTAGATTCATCAATAAGCAGAAGCAGCACTTTAGATAATCAATCAATAGATGTCTGCAGGTCATTTTTGACCCGCAGACATCTATTGACTGATTTTCTATGAGACATCTTTGCTGACATTTCCTACCACACCACTGCACCACGTTCCACGAACACATCGGTGACCCTGAGCCAACAGCAGTCGTCACATTTCATAGTGAAAAAGAGAAATTAATTTTCTTCCATTTAAAAGCTAAAATGGTTGAAACTGACCTGCGACATAATCGCAGCGGTAAAAGAGACGTGTGTGAGCTGCGTGAAGGCCGTTTAATGTCACGTGAAGCTCGGCTGTTCTGGCTTTATGTAAGATGTTTATGTCAGAGCAGGAAGGAGCTGCTGCAGCATTTCTGCTCCACAGAAACACGCTGGACGTTCTGTCATCCAACAAAAGCAATGCGCTTAAACATTTTGTCCATAATTACGTCCAATTATCACTACTTTGTGCAATGATTCATCACCGTTTGAAGCTTATTAGATTAGAGTCCCAGAGCGAAGTGAGAAGCAGGAGCCCGGGCGGCGCTGCTTGTTGTTCTGCCCTCTGCACGAGTAAGACTACACGCTAGGTTAAGCACTAAATCGGGTAACTGTCCAGCGACAGCAGATCAACACCTGCTCCTACACATCATCTGGAGCCGCAGAAAGACGGGAACTGCTTTAATACAACAAACATTTAGGGCAGTAATCAATCCAAGACGCAGGATTTGGACCTAAAATGTCAGCCCTGAAAGGCAAAAGGAAAGAATACCTGACGGTGAAGGACCTGCAGAAGGTTCTGGACTCTTGCAAAATGCATCTCAGTCAGATTGACGAAGTGTGGCCAAAGATATACATAGGGAATGTGTAAGTATGAACCGCTCGTAGTGACCAGGAAATGTGATAGCTGTAACGTTAAAGCTTTCTCTTTGACATAACTCTTCTGCATGTTGTAGAACTCTGACATGAAGTGACTGTGCTGCCGTGCGTAGCGTTCACACAAGTCTTGAACCTCTCTCTGTCTCTTTGTCTTGCTAGGGCAGTAGCCCAAAACAAGACTGCCTTGCTGAAATTAGGTATAACTCATGTGTTAAACGCTGCTCACTCCAAGCGAGGCAGCATAGGGAACCAAAGCTTTTATGGCAACGACTTTGTGTATTGTGGCATTCCAGCAGATGACTCGACACACTTTGATCTGGACGTTTACTTCAAGCCTGCAGCTGATTTCATTCATAAAGCTCTGAAGTCACCCGACGGTAAGACTCCTCACGGCTTCACTCAAATATCAGTGATGAAAAACGACACATTTCAGCTGCTACTGGGTTCTGTTGGTTTGTTTTTTAGACTCCTGAACATCTTTTTATTTCACTCTGTAAGTCCTTCACACAGTAAAGCCCTCTAACTAAAGCTCCCCATCACGCCGTCCTTTCAATGTCACCTGTCACCACAGCTTTTAATGGTATGGAGCTGCAGATGTTCAGCCAGCAGTAATAATAAGAGTCTTACCTTGCAGAATTTAAGTCTATAATTTGACCATGGCTCCTTTCAAAGAAGTTATCAAGCAGAGGACGAGTTGGGATTAAAGAGACGGTCGGCCCGGTCTGCAAAGGGACCTTAAATGAACAAAGACAATGAATTGTGGGCTCTATTTTTAGCTCACAGCGGGAAGAAGAAAGGCCACAGCGTGAGACGGGCAGTCATGTATGATATTAATAAGACCGAGGCCGCTCACTAATCCTCCTTCACATCCCTCTCTCCCTTCATCTTGTCTGTTCTTCAGGGAAAGTTCTGGTGCACTGCATTATGGGAATGAGCCGGTCATCGACCTTGGTGTTAGCGTACCTCATGATCTACCAACACCTCCCGCTCAAACAGGCTTTGCAGAAACTGATCCAGAAGAGGGCCATCTACCCCAACAGGAATTTCCTGGCTTTGCTGCTGGATCTGGATCTTCAGCTGACAAAAAAAAGAAAAACATGTCAAATCCTGTAGTCAAGAGGCGTTTACGCTTGAAGCCGTTGTAATTTCTGGGAATGATGTCGGTCTGTCGGTCCAACAGCCCAGACTGAAACACTTCCACAGATGTACTGTCATGAAATTTGGTTTAACTGATGATTTAATTGTGCCAGACTCAGCTGTACACAGATGAACACTCACATATCAGAAAAAGGAGAAGAACAGGAGGCTGCACACATAACTCCACTCATTTTAGCTTTTGATTTTATGTTAGCATCTTAAATATTGAAATGTTTACACAAAGACATATTTATAATCCTAAATGTTAAGAGCAGGAGAATAAGTGCACACACGTAATTTTTACTGCGATGGATCAGCACACATTTTTCAGGCCATTCTAAACATTAGCCAAGTTTAGGCTACACATGCTAACACTGTTATGATTAGAAGAGAAACAGTAGAACATGAACATGCTAATGTTAGCATGCTGACATGCTTTTGTAAGTGTTTGGTGCTAACAAAATGTTAGCATCCAGTAGGCTAGTTGTTGACAAATGTGGAGGCATCATAGTAGTCGAGGAACAGGGAGGCAGCACAGCTCTTAATTTCATTTTAGCATCCTAAATATTTAAATGTTAATATAGAAAGATAGTAAAAATGCTAAATGTTAATAGCAGGAGAACAATTCCACACGCTCAACTCTATTTTAGCATGATGAATTAGCAAATGCTTCTTCAGGCTTTTCTATACCTTTGTGATGTTACATATGCTAACGCTATCAATATTAAGTGAAAAATATATTTTAAAAAAATAACATACTGATGTTAGCATGCTGACATTTTATTATAATTTTTTGGTGCTAACAGCATGTTAGCATCCAGTATGTTAGTTGTTGATAAGCTTAGAAGCATAATAGTAGAAGAGGCTGCACACATAGCTCTGCTTATTTCTGCTCTTTGTGTTACGTTAGCTTCTTTAAGACTGAAATGTTAGCATAAAGACATTAAATGTTAATAGCAGGAGAACAAATCTGCACATTTTTATCATTGTTATTTTTAGTACATGTAATCAGTACATACTTCTTCAGGCCATTCTGAACATTAGCAAAGTTTAGGCTACACATGCTAACACTGTCAAGAGTACATTAGAAAGTTAACATGCTAATGTTAGCATGCTGACATGCTATTGTACATGTTTGGTGCTAACAACATGTTAGCGTCCAGCATCGCTGGTTGCTGACAAACATGGAAGCATAATGGCAACAGACATGCTAACACAGGTTAGCATTTAAGTCAAAGCTAAGCTGAGCCTAAGAAAACACAACAGATGCTAAACCTGATGGGGAGCTGAGCCTGATGAGCTCAGCCTAACAGGTGGCAGTACGACATGCAGACTTATTTACTGGTTAAGACATTATTGAGTCTGCAGCAGAGGAGGCTGCAGCTTCAGGACCTTTGTTTTTGGCGAGAGAGACCAGAACCTTTTAAAGCTTTATTCCACCCAAAATACTACTTCCTGTCCTGCAGTCTAACTGAGTTGCTTGTAAATTGTGTAATTAGCGAAATAAGCTCGTTATCAGTTAAACAACAACAGCATCATGGCCTTTGTGGTCCCAACATCTCAACAGATGTCTGAAAGCTCAGAGAGAGGCGGGACGCCGTGATAACGCCGGGGCAACAAGCCGTCTTTGGCGATCTGTCCCGCTGAAGGTATCAGAACCGTTTCTGATGTTAAACAAATACGACTTGATCCACATTCAGGAATCACGCCATCGTAGCCAGAAACCTAGAAACCTGGACCTCGCCTCTCAGGTTATCCAATTCAGTAGGTGCTAAAAACAAGGGTCCCAGAAACGCTGTTGAACGTGGTCCTGAAGTCCGGCCTCCTCGACATGATAAAGATCTAACAGTGGATTCAATGTGCAGCTTCGTTTCTTTGTTTGAATCCTTCCTTACAGCTGCAGTATTTCCTCCTGCTCATCATACAGACTGTCTTGTTTGTGCTTTTGAGGAAGTTAAAAAGAAAAGAACGTCTTAAAAAGACAGAAAATGTTCTACCTTAATGTAGCGTTGGGTGAAACGGAGACGAGACTGAACGTTCATCACGCTCAGGTTTTATGTCTTGAATGATGTCTTTAGCTCTCATTCTGGGACGATGGATTTTCCTTCAGCACCTCACTTTGTATTACAGCAGAATGGACCAAATGTCTGCAGGAACATATTTTACAAAGCATCATATTTTAGAATACGCTCTAGATGACTCAGAAAAGAGGGAATCAATCCACGGCGTCTGTCCAACACATCGCTGTTCACAGTGTGAAGTTCCTTTGGTGTGTTGGTCGAGCCGGTCCAGCTGATCGCTGCTGTGCATCAAACGCCTGCAGCTCTTTTGATTGTCCATGAAGATCATGTGCAGACGCATTAGGAGTGTCAGACGCTCAAAGGAGGCGTCTTACATACAGTAGAGCTGGACAGCAATGATTTCTATGAACTGTTGTTGTTTTTGTGACACCTTAAATCAAAAATGCACATTAAAGCTAAATGTTCACTGTGACGGAGAATCAGCATCAAACTGAGGCTTGTTTCACTAGATATGAGTTTCCTCGTTGAAGATTTTATGTGGTTACAAAAAAAAGTGATAATAAATTAAGAATGTCTTGCAAAAAAAACCCTAATTGTTTGCTTTGCTTGTTCGTCTGTTTGCATTTTTCTGGAATTCAGTTTTTATGCTTCACCAAGACTCAATAGGTTGAAAATGTGGTTTTAAGTCTCATAAATCTGCAGCTTTTCTGATGAAATCTTCTAAGAATCAGCAAATAAATCAAGTAAAAGGGATAGAAAACTGTTGACCGAATGACCAGGAAGGGATTTAAAGGCCTCTCACTACACAGGAGGATCTCTGTGTCAGATTTAAGCCCGACTACAGCAGCACTGATCTAATTTTCCTGCTATTGAAAAAGCCGTGTCCTATCCTCCCTCCTGCGCTGGCAGCTCGGGTAACCTTTAAGGAATGCAGAAGATGATGCCAGAATTATTTTGGGCTGAGATTCAGATGTTAAAATAGCAAAAAAGGTTGCAGGGTAGATTACCGAGGAGAAGGCAGACAGTTGTGCTGCCGACCTACATGTAGCTCTCCTACAGAGAGACCATGAAAAGCAGCGTTTCCAGCCAAGGCAAGTGTCTCCTAACAATGTGTTCTTACAAATCTGTTGCAGATATTCAGTGTGGGGGATATTTACCAGTATGTACCTTATACATGATGTAAAGTGTGGCTCTATTAGCTCAGTAAACATGTTGTATGAGCGAGGACGTGCTGTGATGACACCGCGTCGCCTGATGGATTACTACACTTTCTTCTTTTATTAATTTGCCCACAAATCCAGATGAAGCGCATCTGAAAGGCTAAAGAGGGAAGTGTAATTCATAAAACCACCAAGAAGAGGCCCGGAGGAGGTAAAAAGCCATTTTTATTTGCCCTCCATGTTAACCGCGGGCACTTTCCCATACATAGCATCTTTAATTACACAGAAGTGGAGCAGGAAGGACAGGTTAGCCTGAGGGGGGAGGCTATGAAAGCAGCGCTGCAGCTCAACATGTGCACCAGGGAAATCAGTTCTCTGCCCCTGACTGTGGGAGGGAGGGAAGGGTTGTACTTATAGATCAATGAGGAGAAAGAAGAGCCTCCAGGTACTCTGGGCATAAGTACTTGTGCAAAGACACACTTTGCTCTGCCTTCAAGACTCACACACTCGCCTGCACGAGGTCACACGGAGCTGCTCCTGCATGCACACGCTCTGACTGACACACATACAACCACGTCTGAGAGCACCTCCATATGCCACAGCAGCTCCACAAAAGGTCACTGAAACAGATTTGGTCTCAATGACTCATCCCCGCGGACACGACAATAAGTCTACAAACCCTCAGAGCCACATTATGTCTCCGCACACGGCAAGAATGCAAATAAGACGGCGAGCTGCCACCGCTGTCTTTACTATAACAATGCGTACACATGGCTGGTACGTCCCAGCCCGGAGCACAATCACACACCTGCTTAAATGGATGCTAATGTATACAGAATGCGTAGTATAAGTCTCTCCAAAGCCCAGTGTGTAAATTGTAAATGCACAGGTTAGACTTGCCTGCAGGAAATGAAAAGCTGTTTATAGCTGTTTATAGGCCTTGAATACCAATTTTCTGTATCTCTGGAGATAAATAAATCCACAAGTGCAACTGAACTGTAGATAAAATAATGAGAGCATCATGAGGTCAGCGTACAATTACGTGATCTGGTGCTCCTTCGCCGCTGTCGAGTGCATTTATTGGCATAATTACGGTCTATATTTAAAGGCTACAGACCTGCATGCTGGATGTTCTAATTAACAATCCTCACTACAATCCCACGTTGCATTTATCTCTCAGTGATGCCCTCACTTCAATTAACTTCATTAGACGTTATCAGTGCAGTTATTTGGCATTCACATGAAAAGCAGGTGGAGCTCCACCAACATTTCCTTCCTCAGACTGTTTCAGAGCAACACAAGGAGAAGCAAACGTCGGCCGCCTTCTGCACAACTTCCTGGTTTTGGTCCAGATTCCACTGCAGTGACCCGTGCTGCCCTCAGCCCGTGGAGGTGGAGCGTCCAGACATGCCCAGAGGCCTCAGCTGCCTGTCCAGCCCTGAGGGGGCCGAGGGCAGGTACGAGACCCCCCCGGCTTCAGAGCTCCACAGGCTGATGTGGACCAAGAAAGGGACCAGCAGCCACCTGGATGAAGTCCAGCCCAGGATCTACATCGGAGACATGTGAGACTGGAACGTTCACTTCTACTAGTTCAGCACCACTTAAAGATCTAATGTTTAACCCTTTGGTGACAAGAAGAAGCTCAAATACGTTAAAGCGTGGAGCTGCCTGGTCGGGAGCAAACATCTGGGAGCAAACATCTGGGAGGAGGAACTTCTTCACTTATCAATCATGAATACGATCTGAGTTATTAATAATCAGGTTGTCACAGCGACTCGTTAGCGTGCCGCCATTTTAAACACTGCATGCTAAACGTTAGCACATTAACACGCTAATTTAGCACGTTGTAGCCATGAAGGAGTGATTAGCACAGGAACATGCTAATACTGCAGAACCTGCTCTGTGTCTGCAGATACGTCTGATCTTATTCACTCTGACGGACTCTGATGTTAGTGCCAGTTATTGGCATAAACAAACAAGAGTTCAACTAATTATCAGTTTGGCCAATTATCATATTGGACATTCAGCATTTTTTAAAAACTGTTTTCCGCCAAAATAAATTCATTTTAAAAATTCAAAACTGGTGTCGATATTATATATAATTAGCCTCAAATTTACAAGTGCAAAAAAAAAAAGATTTCTGTCTGAGGGTCGGCAGGAAATTAAAAAATAATCATAATAAATCTCAGGAAGTGTTTAATTATTCTAAAATGTACAGATTTAAATATCCATAGCACATAACAATGCATGATGGAAGCACAGCTGCCAGCGTCGCTCCAGGTTTATTATCCTGATATTTATCAGTCTTTAGTCTCTACAACTGAAAGGATTTAAACCTGGCTCCACATCTGGGCGCCACAAACTTCCATGTGATGTTGGTAAATGTTTTGCTATCCAGGCAGTAATATTTTTTCTTATCAGACAGCATCACATGTATCGACCGGTTAATATCTCACCGAGCCTCCTCACAGGAATAACTCTCATTCTTCTCTTCAGGTACGCAGCCAAAGACAAGAGGACTCTCCAGGCTCATCACATCACCCATGTGCTGAACGCCGCTGATGGAAAGTTCAACGTGAACACGGGGCCCAGCTACTACCGAGACACCAGAATCACTTATCACGGAGTGGAGGCTTTTGACATGCCGTCCTTTAACCTGAGTCCCTTCTTCTACCCGGCGGCCAATTTCATCAAGAACGCTTTGAGCTCGCCCACAGGTGAGGAGCTCTCCCTGCTCTCCAGGTATTCCTCGTCCTTTTCACACATTAACTTGGGCAAGACGAGGCGAGGTGCAGAAACATTTGTCAGTCAATTCCCATTACAGCAGCCCCCAGTTGTATTCGTCATTAAAATGCAAATCAAACACTAAACATAATATCAAGCTAATATCTTCCCCCCACGGTAATCTTCTCATAAGCTCAGACCTCGGCCAGGAAAATTGGTTTTAAATGGATTGCCCTGGTAATTTGTAAGCAACACTTTTATTGGACATGGAAATTACACAATTATGTTTGTGGCCTGCGCCTGCCTGGCCTGTTATGCAAAGTGAAGTCGGTATCTGACATGACAGTAATAAGATGAGGCCTCCTTCTTCACATGCTGGCTGATCGGGGGCTCCAGTGTGTGGCGGGCCTACAGTAATCCCCGGCAGAAATACACAGAAGCCAAGACAGTTCAATTACGCGCTCCTCTGCGCCCTAATCCTCGGCGCGATAAGGAACCAGGATTACCGTGTGTAGAAACATTTGTTGCAACATTGTTGAAAACTTTTAGTCAGGAGTTGGAAGCTCTCCTCTCTGGGCTGCGAGCGGCTTTTAATCCACAGCCGAGCCACAAATTAGACATTTAGCATAAAGTTTACGGCAATAATCCACTGATTGCACGGCAGCAAACAGACACGGAGCAGGAAGGAGACGGCTGAGCCCCCAAACCATCCCCACAAAGTCAGCTTTGTTTCTGCTGTGTGCAGGTAAAGTGTTCGTCCACTGCGCAATGGGCCTCAGCCGCTCGTCCACCTTGGTTCTGGCCTACCTGATGATCCATGAGAACATGACGCTGGTGGACGCCCTCAAAGCTGTCAGCGCCAACAGGAACATTTCTCCTAATCAGGGGTTCTTAGAGCAGCTCCGAGAGCTGGATCAGAAGCTGCACTGCCAGGGATCATCGAGGAGCCGCAGCTCCAACGGACGGACGTAGAAACACAACATCCACCAGCCCGTATATTCTGATTATATTATATATTATGCTGTTGCCTCCTGTCAGAGTGTGAAGGAGCCGCTATAACGAGGATATCATGTAAAACAACTGTCTTTACTTTGTAAGATGAATTCCATTTTTGTTGTGAGAAATAAAGATCAAAATGACAGAAGCTTATTTTTCAAAAACGAATGACTAATAAAACCAGGATGAGTGAGGCCTTCTCCTGACCTTCTCCTGACCTTCTCCTTCTTCACAAAAGACACAACAGGTATAAAGAAAGAGCTGCGATTAAACGGGCTTCAAGGTGAGATCGTTTCCGTCGCTGCTGTTTCCAATATCTGGGCTGAACTCTGAACCGCAGCATTCAAATCTATATGAACAAGACATCTTTAAATGAATAGTTTGACATTTGTGGAAATTGGCTTTCCTATGGAGAGATAGACGATTAGATTGAAGCACTCTCATTTCACTTAGTGTCAGGATTAGCATACGGACTGGAGGAGGGGAGGCAGAGCTTCTACATGCTCTGATCCTAAACCAACCGACGTAAAACAACCAAAAATAAAACATAAAGAAGGAACATATGTAGGAAAAGACCAGCAAGACAAACTGGAGGGTGGTTCAGACCAAAGCCTGGCCTCACCACACAGCCGGCAGTGAAGCTGATCAGAGGCCTACGTACCTACAGCGTCCATAAAACGTTTTCATCCTCCTTCATGTTTATGGCTTCTCAACATTGGTCCATCTGTTTGGGCTTCCTGGACAAGAATTTACAAAATAAGGCTCTTTTATGTAAAAGAAAAAAAAGATTTCCATCAAGTAAAGCAGGGGCGTCCAGTCCTGGTCCTGGAGGGCCACAGTCCTGCATGTTCTAGATGTTTCCCTCTGATTCAAATGATCAGCTCATCATCAAGCTCTGCAGAAGCCTGGTGATGAGCTCATCATGTGAATCAGGTGTGTTGGAAGAGGGACACATCTAAAACATGCAGGATTGTGGCCCTCCAGGACCAGGATTGGACACCCCTGTTCTAGATGTTTCCTTCTTCCAACACACCTGATTCAAATGATCAGCATCGTTATCAGGCTTCTGCAGCTTGATGATGAGATTTACTGACAATTAAAAAAAGCATAACGTTTGCTAACAATCAGCTGAGGAGGTTTATTCCTCATGGTGCAGCTAATTGGTACGCCACTGTTTAAAAAAAAAAAGCTAATATATGCATTCATGTCAGTCATTTTTCAAACAGCAATGTGAGACTGGTCACCATGACGACACGTAAAGAAAAAAGCTGAAAACTAAAGGCAGCTACACTGTCCGATATTTAATCTTTCCACCTGTGGCTCTAAAAGTTCCTGAAATGTCTGTTTTATCCAATAAAACCTGAAGCGTAAAAACAGAGACGTCTTTTTTGAGGCTATGCACAGACGAGATGTGAAAACGTCTGGAAAGTGAAGCATGTGTGAGTGCATTAAACAGCCACCAGGGGGCGACGCCTCTCGTTGCAAAAAGAAGTCCTGTTCTACTGAAGTCTATGAGACAATAGCCCTGCTTCTAACTGAATCTGTTTCCTCTATGAACGTTTTACTGTTGACTTCATGGTCTCAGCTGCTAGTTTGAAGTCTCCTTCAGTGCAGCACGACGTTTATTCTGTGAATAATCGTCCCATTTAGAGTCAAATACACGATAAAGGAGAGTACGCTTCAGGACCAGGCTACCTTGTGATTGATAAGAAGCTCCTACAGCAGAGTGCATGACGTCCGTCTGGTGTGTCTGGTTTCAAAAGAGCAGCACTGCCTCACCGTGAACACACAGAGCTGAGCGTGGCGTCCAAAACATGGAGGTGAGACTGTTTTAACAACCAGCGTAATTTACTTCTGGTGGCAGTGTAACCTGAGCATGCTCAGTGAGGCTTTCCTGACGTGGAAATGCCCGTACTCATTGGTTTGGACTTTTTGTTTAATTTGTTGTTTAAAACAAACAGATAAACCTGATGTGGTTTGAAAGCAGCCGGTGTAGCTCCTGACATCAACACCTCACCATGTTTTCAGTCCTCTGCTCTGTTACGACTGTTCAAACTGCAGCGGCCCTCGACTTGAATTTGTCACAACACAAGCAGCTTCTGGCTTCTGTCACCGTCATCGGAGGAATAAATAGTCCACGCTGCTTCTGCCCAGTCTCTGGTATGTTCAGCTGTCTCGTTCCAGCGGGGTTCAGCCTCTAAACAACACTGATACCAGCTCAGATGGAAACAGAGCGAGCTCCACCAGTGAGGTTAGGGTGTGCTGGAGGTCCTTCTCCAAATGCCAACAGAAAAAAAAACAGGAGAAAAATTAGCAATAAATCCTCAAATGTTCCGTCCTGGAACGTGAAGTATTTGGGAAAGTTATCTAACTGTTATCAAGTTGAATATAAATTGTGATAATTATACATCAACAGTGAGGTGAGAGATGCAGACATGAGCTCAGAGGAGGAGCCAGAGGAGCAGACACCGCCCACCTGCGATCTGCTCAGCCTTCTGCTGAGGAACAGACGCCCCACTGGAGCTGTCAATGAGGTTTGGCCCAACCTCTACATCGGAGACGCGTAAGTGACATTCTCACTTTGGGGCCCTGCTGCAATATGATGATCTGATTGTGAAACTGTTGCTGCAAACAACTCGTGTATTTGGCCAACTGATGGGACAAATATAAAATCTGTACATTTGAGTCACCAGTGATGCATTTGCAAACATATGCTTCCGGAGCTGGCTACAGGCGAGAAAAAATTAGCTAAAAACGACATCCCTCGTGTCGTCTCTTGCGTGGCTTTGCAGGGCTACGGCTCAGGATAAAACCCTGTTAGCCAGTCTGGAAATAACACACGTGGTGAACGCCGCCGACGGCCGCCAGCACATTGACACGGGGCCACGGTTCTACAGAGACACCAGCGTCCGGTACCACGGAGTACAAGCAGCAGACTGCAAAGACTTTGACTTGAGCCCATTCTTCACGGAGACGGCTGATTTCATTCATGATGCTCTGAGTCAGGAAGGTACGAGTCCACAGAAAACACAGAAAACACAGAAAGCACATGAAACACATGAAACACATGGAACACGGCGGCATGGAGGCGAAGTGATGCATCATAGTCCAAAGCATCATGACACACAAAGGTGATGCGTCATCAGGCTGATAAATGGATTGTGTTGTCAAACAGATCTGGAAAAAAAAGCAGGTGTTTGCTGTTTTATTTGCATTAATTTAATGGAAGAAGGTAAATGAACAGAATCTATAACTGTGGGATGTTTGGAGACTCTGGCTGAACTCACATTTTTGCCGTGTTCATTCTAAATCAGGCATCTTTACTTCTTTAACTCAGTTTTATCTGGATAAAAGCAGCTTTTTCATCTATTTTTTCCCCATTGTGCACCAAAAGAAGAAAAGCATTTTTAAATCAAGTTCAAGTTGGATTTTTGACACTTTTTTTTGTTTTGTGGCAGGTGTTTTTGGCCATTTAACATCGAAGAAGTGATAAATAAACAGGTTGTTGTTAATAAAAGCCTCTTTTTCTGACAGCACTTGTCAAATCACAGGTGTAAATAATAAAACGAATGACGGCTGAATGTCATTGAGCTGTTTCAGGTTCAGGGTCGTTGTTTTAACGCCTGCGCTTTTCCTACGATAATGAGGAATCATTTCTGTTGTGAGCATTAAACCATAAGCTGATTGTGTTGTCGCACACCTACGTTACACAATTAATCCCATTCTAACGGCAGTCTACTCACAGTTGAAGGCGAGTCTGTGTTCTGTCCTTCCAGGTAAGGTGCTGGTCCATTGTGCTCGAGGAATCAGCCGCTCAGCGACTCTGGTGCTGGCCTTCCTCATGATCAAAGAAAGACTTTCCCTGGTGGAGGCCGTGGAGGTTGTTTCCAGCCGCAGAAACATTCTTCCAAACGTTGGATTTCTGAACCAGCTCTGCCTCCTCGACTCGTCCTTGACCCGGCAGAGGAGGACGAAGCGCTGAGAGGTGGAGGAGAGACGTGGATGTTGTTGAGTTTTTATCACTTTTATGTTTCCGTCATCGTAGATTCTCGGCCATAAAGGTCATTTTAACCCTGAGAGCTTCTTCAGAAAGTACGTTTTTCTTGAAGACATCTTCAGACATCCAGTTGCCTTCTGCTAACAGCTCTTGTGATCATCCTTCTCGTTATCTATTTAACTAACCAGCATCCCTCAGTGTGGATTTTTAGGATGTATTTTCTACCTTGCAGGCAGTCATTGTTTTCCATTAATTGCTGAGCATGAAAATCAATTAGCCCACTTTTGCTTGAGTTGTGTAATTAACTGCTCCAAAAACTCCCATTACAATATAATGATATGCTGTTTATGAGGAGATTAAATTAAAAAAAAAAAAAAAACTACACTGTATTACATCATAATGTAATTTTGCCAAAAATAGAGGAAGAAGCCTGGATGTTGGCGGCGGTGGATTACGCAGGTTTGGAGGACGCTGCACAGCTGCAGGCTCCAAACTTCAGTTACATAAATAAAGACAGAAAACCAGCTGAAGATTTGATTTGATGAGTCTTGAAAGTTTTTGCTTCTTTTTTTTTCTTCCTGTCTCGATCTGGCACGATGCTGAAGCGTGACGTTGTTTAGCCACAGAGCTTCAATATTTATGTGTTTTAACTTTATATTTCCTGGTAGGACGGCTCCTTAAAAGGATCCGTGTCCACCACGTGAAACATCCCGACTTGGCTGCCTTAAAAAAAATCAAAAACAGCCGGCAAAAGCTGCAAAGTACACATAAAATGTAGTTAAGGAGCTAAAACGTGCAAAAACACTGGCGTGGTCTTTAAAGCTCACGTCTGAAACGCAGCACAATCAGTGTGAAGTGCCAAAAAGCCCTGCTGCACTCGAACAACACGGAGACAGAGAACGCCTATAAATAAACAATGCTCCACTTACTTATTCACATTTCTCAAAATACTGCGTCTTAACTGCTGCAATCCAGTGGCGTACAGTTAAAACTGTGATGTGTCTAAAGAGGCTTGATACAAGATGACAAAAATATGCCAGCTCGGTTCTGAGCGTGTATACAGATTCAGGTCAGACTTTGAAAAAAGATGAAACACTGAAGCCATCTTAATAAGAGATGCTCTCCAGAGCTCACTGGGAGAGAGAGATGCTGTCAAAATAAAAGGAATTGGATATCACAGGTTTAATGATTTCACTGTCAGAATGAATGATGGCAGAGTATGAAGATATGAGGGAAAAATAAAGGAGTCTGATGGTGTGAAAACTCCGTCTGACATGTTAGCAGCTTCATCCAGCCATTCCGCAATACAGTCATCATCACACTCTCACTTTGGGGGCTCGCATTTAGATCACTGAATGGACCGTGCATATCATATAATGGGGAATCAAAGACATGTGGCATCCTGTGAAAAAGCTCATCTGTCTAACAGTCTGACACGTTTCAGCTCTCTCTTGGCCCCCGAGAGGCTCCAGAAGATGCAGAACATCCTTAACGGGTGTTGCGAGGCCGCGCTTACACGCTTTCTCCCAGCGTCTGAAGATATGCAGAAAGGCTAAGAGAGACTGACACATTTTCAAGGAGTCGCTCATACGGCTGAGCAAAAGCTCAGAGTGCCCTGTTCACTCCAGTGAATATGGGTATCCTTTGGCAAGTGCAAAGTTTGGATAAGCGCAGCTTCCTGCCAGCAGCGGAGATTAAAGTTGTGTGTTTAGAAGTGGATGGCAGGGACTGGCTGGGTGGAAGTTTTCCCCACAGGCACAGAACGTGGCAGCTAAGGTCAGGGGCCCACCACATCACAGCCCTAAAAATATCCTCTGCATTTGATGCCCGTCACAGAGCGGTTATACAATCTGTGCCCTGACTTGAGCCTGCCAGAACTAAACCTTACCATGTTCTGCCTTTAAGGGCTGCTTCACAACAAGCTGCCAGAATGATGAAAACCAAATTCTCGAGGAGGAAAACGAAGGACTTCAATCTCCCGGTGAGTGGTGTTAGAGATGCATGTGAAAAACAAAAAGGGAAATCTGTACCTTTTCATGGCTGTAGACGGAGGAAAGTGGAAGCGGAGGGGAAAGAAAAAAAAAAAAGGCAAGTGTGGTATTTCTTTTTCTCCTTAAGAAAATAAATCATGTGTGAAAGGAAGCCACAGTGAGAAAATGGCTTCTCGCAAGTCGAAGACTGGCACCAAGATAAATGTTACAGAAGCAGCAGAGGAATCCAGTCCAGTGGATGATTATGTCACACCTGGGGGCTATGAGCTGGAGAAAATCCTCAACCGTGGGAGTGTGGCTTACACTCATGTCAACGAGGTCTGGCCTAATGTCTACGTTGGGGACGAGTAAGTAAAAAAAAAGGCATTAAATTACCAAACTGAATAAAATAAGCGAGGATTAATGTGACACTCACAGCGGCTTCTTGCAGGCAGACTGCAAAAGACAAGTACAACCTGAAGAGGTTGGGGATTACGCACATCTTGAACGCAGCAGAGGGGACGTGGAACAACGTGGACACCGGACCTGGTTACTACAGCGACATGGACGTCGTCTACTACGGGGTGGTGGCAGAAGACGTCCCAGCCTTCGACCTCAGCCAGTATTTCTTCTCTGCTGCCGGCTTCATTCAGGAGACCCTGAAGAATCCTCAGAGTAAGACCGCTCACACAGAGCTTGAATGTTGTGATTTGGTGAAGCGACGCTTTATGACCGAAACGTGTCGTCTCCAGATAAGCTGCTGGTGCACTGCGTGATGGGAAGGAGTCGGTCCGCCACGCTGTTCCTCGCCTACCTCATGATCTGTGAGAACATGACGGTGGTCGACGCCATCGAACACGTGAAGAAACGCAGACGCATCATCCCCAACTGGGGCTTCCTGAAACAGCTGAGAGAGCTGGACCAGAAGCTCCAGGAAAGGAAGGACTCGACAGAGGACAGCTGACCGCTCTGTTGGTTTCCTGTTCAAGCCGATTCCCAGGAGAAAAGGTCAAGTCATTGGTTTTATGTTCAAGTCAAGTTACGAGTTCAAGTTTAACCTCAAGTCATTAGAAGCAGGCTAGATTCCAAGTCTAACATGGCATCAGCTCTATCACAAAAAGTCTCACGTAACTCGAGACAAGTTCGAGTCAAGACTCATTTTTTGACACAAGTGAAGTCTCAAGTGATTTGAGGCTTGAGTTGACTTGAGACATCGAAGTCAACCTCCAAGTAATTCAAGACAAATCCAAGTTGACCCTGGAGGCATTTGATTTGAGACGAGTTTAAGTCAACTGTCAAGCAGCTTAAGACATGCTAGAGTCAAGGATCCAGTCATCTGAGACAAACCCAAGTCAAGCCTCGAGCCGAGTCAACTCTCAAATCAGTAGACAAGTCAGAATCAAGTCTTAAGTCATTTGACACAAGTCCAAGTCAAGCATCAAGTCTTCCAAGACAAGTCTAAATAGTGCAAGTCCAAGGTCAGCTGTAAGTCATTGGAGAAAAGTCCACGTCAAGGCTGAAGTAATTTAAGACAAGTCCAAGTCCAGTACCAGGTCTATAAGGTCAAGCCTCAGGTCATGTCACACAAGTTTTAGTTTAATCTCAAGTCATGCAAGACAAGTCAAGTCTCAAGCTTCTACCACAGCAAGTCCCGAGGAACGTCACATCAAGCATGTGACACAAGCAACAACGGCAAATGTCTCTGAGTGCCAAGTCCAAATAACTGCAAGTCAAGATGCAAGTACTGCCATGAAAGCTGTGCAGCACTTTGGACATTTGAACTGAGACTGTGAATGCAAAGGCTTTCTAATTATCTATTCACTGTGTGTGTGGCATTGCAAGGCCCATCTGCTGTTGTCCCACCTGACTGTGCTGTTGTGGGATTCCAGCAGGTGAAACCTTGAGACGTCAGTGTTGTGATGTGTAGTTTCAGCGAAATCTCGAGTAAATCGAGTCTCAAGAGCAGTCAAGCTGAAGTCAAGTTTGCTTAACGTGTACTTTTTATTTTAAAATACTTTTCTGCAGAGAAAACAGCTGCCTGGATGAACAGAAACCTTCAGAACCTGTCGCTGCATCGTGTGACACGCCTCAGGGCAGCAAACGCTTCAAATTAAAGGAGAACAATCAAGTACATGGTCAATCATAATTTATTCTTATGCTAAAATGTACAGCATTTTTAAGTGACTGACAAAAGGAGAAAAGTCATAAATACAAGAATGTCGTTCTGTCCGATTTGTGTGCACATAGCCAGGTATTTCCCCCCCGTTCTTACCAGCAACTCTGTACAGGTACAAAGGCTACAAAAGAGCAATATAAACAAAAACACAAGTACAAGTTGCGTTTTACATGCAATCCATTAGCTTAGTTTGGTCTATTCACAGGCTCTATTCTTCTACACTTCGGTAAAATATAAATCCAACATTTTATAAAGATAGAAAACAAATCTACAGATGGAATGAAAACGTAGCTTTAAAGGCATTATGTAAAATATCGACTTTGGACTAAATTTATATTTTCTTTATTGTTATTCATCACTATAATCATTTAGTTCTTTTAAATTCTGCCACACTTCTGGACATTTTGAAATGTTTTAGAATTTTTCAGGGTACAAACACTGAGATATGCTTTTTTATTTTGACAGAAATCAGTCTGCTTTATTAAACAGAAAGCTGCCTCAAGGAGATCTGTTACAAAAGACTTCAGAATTATACATACATAGCAATAAAACCTCTCAAACCAAACAGAAAACAGGACTAAGTTTACATTTTTTTACATTATTAGAATTAACAAAATATAGTTTCATCTTTCTCCCTGTGGAGGGAAACCTAATAAAGGCCAGATATTTTTAAAATGGCTTGCTATTAAGCACAACACTTGTACAGTACTACTCAATGCACTGTCACTAACAGAGACTGAAGCATGCTAGTTGTCACTTTACAAAATAAGTACAATAATTTAAATATACAAAGGCATGAGTATAGTACAAACTAATTGTCAGCACTGTTAGACAGGTACACTGAACAGGTTCAAACAGCCACTATCTCCACTTGTAGCAGGCACATTAAATGGCTTCATTTGAGGCTGCTACACGACTGCAAGACCACTGATGAAATCTCTACGTCTGAGCTCCGAACCCGCCTGGCCTAAAGACACATCAGAGACACTAACACTAATTAAATAGATTTTCATCGTAATGATGTAAGGCTTCCCATCTGGAGGAACAAAAATACTTTTCAACATTAGCTTCAAAGTTTACTCATTGATGAAAATTTTTGCATTCTTTCCAAGTGCTGCTGCTGGTTTTTAAGTAATAAACAATAACAAAAAGACACCGAAAAAAGAAAACAAGGCCAGATCAGTGCATCTCTGAACAGCAAAATGCACGTGAGCAGAACCAGCTCAGTCCTGCGGACAGTTACCGCCTGATGAAAGGCCCTTTCAGGGACTGCTTGGACATGCCTGTGTTCATGTAACCATGGTGACCAGCTGGAGTGTACACCATGTTGCCATGTGGTGGAGCCTGCATGGGCTGCTGGGGGTATGGCTGTGTTCCCATCATGCCCATCTGCATAGAGTACTGGGGTGACTGGTTCATATAGGCATGGTTGCCATGGTAGCCGCTGTTCATCATGGGCTGGCTCATGCTGTAGCCGTTCATGGCGTTAAGGGAGGACATGTTCATGGAGTTGACGTTGTAGGCTGGTGCCGGCATGATGTTCATGCTCATGTTCATGCGTGGCATGGCGGCCAGCGTCCTGGATGGCGCCTGCATGGCCACAGTCTGTGGAGGCCGGGCGTACATCTGCTGCTGGTGGTGTGACAGCGGGGCCGACTTGGAGCGTGCAGAGATGTGATTCTTAGAGGCCATTTGGGGCTGGATCCGCTGCGAGGGCGGGATGCCCATGTTGCGCTGTAGCATCATGGGGGGTGGCGAGCTGAGATTCGGGGGCGGGGTCATGGTGGCCTGCACCTGTGGGTTGGGGACTCGATGCGGGGTCTGAGACAGGGACACCAGGCTGGAGTGCTGCGACGACAGCGACGGGGTGTTTGCATAAGATGTGATGGGGTGTGAGGCCGAGTGGTTGAAAGGCAGCGAGTGAGGATGGTCTATGAACGTGTTGGTGAACTGCTGCAGCTTGGCCAGACTGAGGCCAGACGACTGAGAGTAATGCCCGCTGCCATACTCCCCCTGATGGTTGATCCTCTCATAGAGGGTGAAGTTTGGGTTGCCAGATTCAGGAATGTCTGCCAGCTGCATGGTGGTGGTGAAATTGGTGGGGATGGCGCACTGTGCCATGGGCTGCTGCTGGCTGTGCTGACTGTGTTGATTGTGAAGGCTATGCTGAGCGTGCTGATTGTGCTGGCTGAGCTGATTGTGCTGCAGGTGGTGATTGTGGTGGTGTCGATGCTGGTTGTGGGGATTGTGTTGACTGTGCTGGGTTAGCTGATTGTGTGGACCGTGCTGATTGTGTTGGCTGTGCTGATTGTGTGGACCGTGCCTGCTGTGGGAGCTGTGTTGACTGTGTTGGCTGTGCTGGCTGCGCTGGCTGTGTTGACTGTGCTGGTTGTGCTGGCTGTTGCTGGGAGGCCTTTCCACCACCACGCAGCCCTGTGGCGACTTGACGTTGCAGTGTGGCGGCGAACTCAGGCTGTTCTGCTGAATCATTCCACAGCTGCCCGGGTTAACAGCAGCCATTTGTTGGCTCACGGCACAGCTGCTCTGGGGCAGACCACTAGGGGGGATGCTGCCATAGGAGCAGCTGTTCTGGGAGGGGCCTGCCCCACAGATGCTGCCCCCCATGGTTGAGTCGTAGCTGCTGGGGTTCTCGTAGTTCTCTGTGGTGCTCTCGATGCTGCCCAGATCGCTGAAGCCACTGTCCACGACCTGCTGGGAGTGATCTGACACCGACGGCACATCCATCATGGGGCTCGTCTCCATGTTGTGCAGCGAGGGCACTGAGATCGCGCTGTGGTCAGGGCTAATCTGAGTGTAGCCGCTTTCCAGGATGGAGACAGCTGGGCTGTTAACGGAGCGTACCGATTGGCTGGGATGGGACTGCGCGGAGGAAAGGGGACTGCTGTGGTCTGACTGGGGGCAGTCATCCAGTGAGGTGAGCTGGGGGCTCTGGGCCACATGGGCATAGGTCTGCAGGTTCCTGCAGGGCTCCTGGCTCTCCACACAGTCCTGGAAAACATTCTCTCGCTCAGTCTCCTGCGTCAGAGACTGAACAGCTTGAGCTGTCTCTGAGTCAATCTCTGTGCAGACTGGGGGATCCTCCCTCAGCACGGGACTGAGCGTCGGCCTCTCTGCAGGTGGAAGAGGCGGGGGGTCCGGACCAGGACTGGGCGTGCTCTCTTCCTCTGACTCAGAGTCTACAGGATTATCCGAATCCACAGCGGCTATTGAAGCGACTGCTACTGCTTCAGGTGGCGGCGTTGCTACTGTTGGTTCTGTCACTGCGTCCTCCGTGCTTTCTGCAGCAGCAGCTGGTTCCTCTTCACTACACAACACTGTAGAAACCTGCTGACTCAACTCAGAGTCATTGTCTTCTTTTGGATCTAAAAAAGGTGGGGTGCATTTGGGTGTGTCTTTTGAACTCTGCTCCAACTCCTCCACGCTGCTCTCAGGTCCTGCCGTCTTGCTGTGACTGTCATCCTCATCGTCCGCATCCTGATCCTCGTTCTGAGCTCTCTGCTCGTCCTCCTCCTCATCTTCCTCATTGTCATTCTCCAGCGACACAGCACCGTCTGTGCTGTGCTCTGCATCTTTGGCTGGGGAGTCCTGCTCATGTTCACTCTCTTGCTGCTCATCTTCAGGTGGTTCTGGAGAATCACTTCTGTCCACGGGCGTGGGAGACACAGCAGCAGGAGAGGCGGCAGGTGAGCACACCGGAGAGGCCACCGGCGATCCTTCAGGGGAGCTCGACTTCTGGGAGCCATGATCAGCAGGACTGGGAGGCTCAGAGGGGAGTCTGTCTAGCGTTATATCTGGGCTAGGCGAGCCTCTGTCTGCTTTGCTGCCCTCATCGGCGCTGACAACGTCGTGGTCTGGTTCACCTTTCGCTTCCTCAGTCTGGATGTGGTGCTGCTCTGCCTCCATGGGAGTTTCAGGGGGTGTGTAGAGGTTCAGCTTGAAGCCCATCTTCCGTTCGTTCTTTAGCCTCCACTTAGGAGGGCCACGTTTCACTCCTTTGGGCCAGCCTTTCTTCCGTTTCACTGGACGGGGTTTGCTGGGTCTCTTACAGAGAACGTCAGCTCCTACAGATCCCAGAGAAAGAAAAAAATATCCGTGAGAAATGCTTTAATGTTTTGCCACAGATTCAGCACAAAACAACGTGAAACATAAAATATAAATAATGTTTTTACTACAGCCACCATGAAAATACCTTCGCTCCAGTGTTCAAGATTGTCTTTCTGTGCATTTTTCTCCAGCCTTGGACGACCTCGCCGGCGTTTCATTGGTGTACTTGGTGTCTTGTCTTTGTGTTCCTCCTCCTCCTCCTCCTCCTCCTCTTCCTCCGTCTCGCCCACTCTGCAGGTGCGCTCCAGCAGGGGCATAGGACGCTCATCCTCTGAGTTGTCGAACGGCTCGTTCAGCACCTCTGTTGTCTCAGAGATGGTCTCTGTTGTTACACTGCTGTTTATTCGCTTTCTTTTACGCCCTCTCTTCTTCAGAACAATGGTTCTCTGCAAGACAAATAAAAGGAGAACCAATAAAAATAGAATAAAACCTCCATTGGAGTAGAGTCGTGTTGTTTAGACTGAAAACTAGGGCACTAGGTGGATGACCTCCGTGAGGATATAGCAGGAAAACATCCAGGCTTCTGTGCTAAATGTAAAATGTTAAAACCACACTGCAAGACTAAATGTTTGAGCAATGCAGCCTGGTGTGGAAAACCACAAATGAGAAAGGCAGAGTAAGCAGAAACCACAGTCTATATTTTACATTCTCCAGTTGTTTCCCACCGGCTGCCTGCGACTCAACCGCTCTCCTCTCCGAAATCCTTCACAAGAAGAATGTGAAATCAATACTGTAACTAATGCACTAAATAAACCCCAACAGCCACTGTCATTCTTTTCTGGTTTCCATACTGTTTTTGTTGAAAAGGTCTCCCTGACATCATGCAGCCG